TTGCTTTTAACGGCTTCGTGAGCACCGAAAATTGCGCTCCAGTGTCTATCATAAAATTTACTAAGCGGCTCCCCAGTTTAACCGAGACCATGGGCTCTTGGGAGCCTAAAGAAAGAGTTGAGCCCGGTCTGTCCTATGCATTCTCATTCTCATATTCCTCCAGTTGCGCTAATCCAACAAAATCTCTGCTACTTCCTCTGCTCCTCACATATCTTCCAGCTTGCATCCTTCCTCTCTGCGATCCCCAACCACGTCCACGCTCCCTCTGTTCCCTGTATTCACCTTCTCCCTCTGCGTCCCTTGCTTCAGGGCACTCCTGTTTCCAATGACCTTCCTTTCTGCAAATTGCACACTGATTCCTTCCCAATGGCAATCCCCTTCCTCTTCCTCTTCCTCTTCCTCGTGCCCTACTGGAACCTCTCCCTTGGGCACCCGTATCAAATGCTGAGCCCTGGCTGATGGCTGCAGCCAAAAACACTGCCTTTTGTTTCATTTCCCGAACTCTGTCCTTCTTAACCTCATTCTCTCTGTTCAAATAAACCTTTTGAGCGATTGCTAGGAGCTGATCCATCTGCAATGTTTCAAAAGCGTCTAACTTTTGCAATTTCCTCTTAATGTCCGTGGCACTTTGAGCCACAAATGCCGCATTCACCATTTGCTTGCTTTCTGGGGCTTCTGGATCAAAGGGGGTGTAAATTCTATATGCCTCCATTAAGCGTTCCAAATAATTAGAAGGAGATTCATCTGGGAGTTGAAGAACCTCAGCTACCCTAGAAATGTTTGTGGGCTTTCTAGCAGCACCTTTTATAGCCTTTATAACTTCCTGCCGATAACTGTCCAAGGCGTCCTTATCCCTTTCTGGGTCCCACCCTGGATCTGTGAGTGGATATCTGGCACGGACCCAAGCATCTGGATTGTTTTCTGAGTTTGGCACCTGAGCTTTAAGATTGTTGTCTGCAGTTGTATCTATCCTTCTCCTTTCCTCAGAGGTGAAAAGAGTCATCAAAAGATGCCTGCAATCTTGCCATGTAGGCAGATGAGTTACCATAATGGAGGCAACTAAATCCAGCATGGCCTGAGGTTTTTCTGAAAAGGGTATTGTATGCGTTTTCCAATTCAATAAATCCGTGGTTGTAAAGGGCACATATTGAAGTGTAACTGCCCTGGAAGGCCAAGGACCCGTTGGTCTCCCATTTCCATCCACTGGCCGTGGCTCTTTGGGGCCCCAAAACAGCCCTTAGGGGAAGCATTGGCGCTGGTGCCCCTTTGTTATTACGTAAGTAATAGCCTCCTTTTGAAAGCTTAGGCGAGGCTGGGCTTTGAGAGGTACTAGGCAAATCACTTTCTCTCATTTTAAGGACCAACTTCTGTCCAGAATCTGTAATTGCATCCATCAATTTCCATAGTTTTGAACTGTCATGGCTTTCTGGGGTTCTGAATGAATTAATTTGTTCCCCCCATGCTCCAGACATTTGAAATGCGCTGGTTCCCCCTTCCGCTCCCTGTGTTTGCAAGGCTGACATGTCCTGGTTGTATTTTTCCTCGGGAGGGGAGGGTAACGTGCTTTGATCTAGAGCTGTTGTTTGTTTTGGCTGGGAAGGCAATTCTGGAAGGCTAGGCACATCCAGTGATGCTTGAGAGGGTGGGGCAGCCTGCGAAACACCATTTGTGGCTTGCGGGGCTTTATTCAGTTCTGGCTGAGATCGGCTGGGCATAGGGGTCCGTTGGGTTTGGGGTTGGGTTTGTCCTGCCACTGCATTTTGATCTGGCAATGCTTGCCTTGAAGGCGGCTGTATTGCTTGATTACTGCTGCTATAATTGTATGGCGGGGGAGGGATTCCATCCTCCTCTGAAGGACCAACATAAATTTTCCTGTCAGCTGCAGAAACTGTTAAGGGTTTTCTGGCTTCCTGCCTTACAGCGAAAATCTCACAGCTGTCACTTCCTCTTTTCATCCAATCTGGATTTTTTAAACAAATAGCAGTCCACTTAGAAATGTAATAGTACTGCTCCTTAAACAAAACCGGATTTTTCATTATTGAGTCCATAACTGCTTGACATTTCTCAATCCTGAAGGAGCCAAGTTGTGGCCAGGATTTGACCTGTTGGGGCCACACCTGTTGACAATATTTCTTTAAAACTTCCTTACTTGGTTTGACCTCCCCTGGTTCTTCTGGAAAAACCATTTTAAAATTTTCTAACATGCAGTCTAGGGGTGTACAGGCTTGAATTGGTTTTGAGCATTTCCCCCCCATAGTTCTGCAAAAAACTTTCCCTCTTCGCCAGACAAACACTTTCAGCTAGGCAGTTTCAAAAATAGAGAAAAACCACAGCACACTTCCTTTTTCAACTCAGATCTTACACATTCACTCGGCGTCCCGGGACTTTCACACAGACAACACAGCCCTTTCTCCCCCCTTTGCCTGCGGCAACAACTTGGCAGAAAAACACACACTTTCATACAGCGTTTTACCCTTTTTTTCCTTCTTGGTTGACTCAGCTTCTCCTCCCTCACCCTTTTGGTGATCCTTTCCCTTTAACGGGAGGTTACTGGTGGGTCACCCTGAGTGTTGATCAGCACTCCTTTTATCTCAACTCACCGTGAGTTCCTGTCGTGGCGCGCCTTTCCTTTTGGCTCCCCTTCAGATTCTCCTTGTTCGGTCCTTGCCTCCGTCTCGCCGGGAGTCCGCGCCGAAGGCGATTGCCTTCCTCCTTCGGAAATGATGTCCGATTGGCGCCTGGAACGAAGCCAAAACCCTCGGGACGCCCTCCCCCCGAGAACCGGAGGCCGGCTCTTTTTTTGGGTAAAAAACCCCACTGGCCTGTGTGATCCGAGTCACGGCACCAAATGTTGCAAGGGATAAGGATCAGCCAGACGCAGCAATGGAGAATAAGAAGGTGAAGTTTATTGCCAGGCAATAAGGACCCAGTTGGAATCTCTTCCAAAGAACTGGGACCCCGATTGACAGAAATACAGGGGTCTTTATACCTGAGCAAATCACAGCAAATCATAGATCATAAGACAATCACGAAGGACTCATACTTGGTCAGCAAAAAACATCAGCCAATCAGCAAGCAGTTGTCACGCTCCTAGCTACTGGTATAGCACTGGTCAAGCCCAGGGTTCCAGTTCCGCTTTCCAATGCTTCCAGTGACGCTCAGTCTAACCTTTCCCCTAATTATGACAGGACAGGGAGTTTGGACATTTTGTGGTTTTGCTCTTCCTGTTCTGTGGATTAATTTAGCCTGTTTCTGATGGGGAATTTGTACCAGAATCTCTGATTCATGTCTTGTCCGGGGTTCACAGATGTTTCTAGGGGAAAGGTCGGTTCCTACTTGCTGTTCCAAGCAGTTTGCATTTTTAGCTAAGGCACAGCTTCCCTTTTGATTCAAGTGGATTTATAAAGTACTGTAATCCTTGATTCGTGTAAGCATACATGAATATATATTGAATATATTGATTATTGATAACTGGTTATATGGATAATATAGGGGTAGCCCTTCCTTCCTTGCCTCATTACGAATGTTAAAACAATAAATTAACAAAAATTCTACTGTCTTCATTAAACAGATCCATTGATGGAGTGATTTTGATAGTGTAGGGTTTCAGTCCTCCATTTTTGAAATGCTAACTTATTCTTATAAGTGTCTGTTCCTGAAGATTCAAACCTGGGGGTGGTGTGGGGGTGCCCCACATGCAATAAAGCCAGGGACGCGGACTTATAAAAAATATTGGGGGGGCCCGGGAAAGCTCATGAATAATAAATAAGCTCATGAATATGCAAATAAAGTGGCTCCGGCCCTAAATAGGGCAAGCCACGCCCCCCCAGCCAGCCAATCGGCTGGCTGGGAGGTGTGGCCAGTCGGGATTCCCCTGTTCTCGCGGGGCCAGGAGGAAGGAAATTCCCCCCGGCAGTGCCTTGGCAGTGGCGGTGGTGCTGCGAAGCAGCGAGGCAGGAGCCCCCGCCCCGGGGATTCCCTAATCTCGCGGGGGACGGCCGGGGCTCTCCGACTAGGGCGCGCGGCTGGCTGGCGAGGGAGCAGGTGGGGAGGAGGCGGGGGACGGCGGCGGCGCTCTGCTGGAAGGGCGCCCGAGATTATTGGGGGGCTGAGCCCCCCCAAAAATTTTTTTGAGGGGGCTCGAGCCCCCTCAGGCCCCATGGAGTCGGCGCCTATGAATAAAGCAACTTTTGAAAAATGAACTTTTCCGTCTTCACACTTTCCACTTCTCAAAGAATGGCAACACTGAACATGATTTAAAAGCTAAGCCTACCTTATAATCTAAAGCTGACTCTGTACTGTACGGAACTATATATTGATTTTTTTAAACATTTCTCTAAAATTGGGATTTAGTCTAGATTTCTGGTTTACCATGTCCCCTCTAAACTTCACTGCTTGGGCAGAGCTAAAAACTAGCTTAAGTCTCTTATAGAGACCTAACACCCCTAAGATTTAGCCCTAGCACAGAGCTCTTGACTGATTAGATGGGTGGCATTAGTCTGTTTGCTTAATTTAATTTGTTACCTTGATGCTATCACTGGGGCCAAAATGTTTCATTAGATGGGACTCCCTTGCTAGGTTGTTCCACATTTATAGCCCTGGTTAGCTTCTTCCAGCTGCTAATGCAGCCAATTAGATCAGGTCTTTGTTTGAAGAAACACAACTAATCAAATCCCAGATTCAAACTCTGCTGCACTATGAAGCTGATAGAACAGTTGAGGAAGTTACTTTCTCTCAACCTAATCTACCTCTCACCACTAAAATATCACTCCATATTTCTGGGAGGAAGGACAGGATGTAAATTGATAAATAAATGTAATGTTCCCTCAGTTAATTCCAAAACCTGTGTTCAGTATGCCTTACCAAATTTCAACCCTCACCATAACATATGCATTGTGCATGTACAAATATTGCACCCATACAACATAGCAATCTTTTTCTTCAAGCTGAGGCTTAAGTCATTAATACATGCTTGGGAAATGAACACAGGAGATTCTGTATCTTGACCAGAAACTTTATTTCAAAAAGTGCTACTGGTGACTAAGGAACATTTGCTAGCAAGTGAAATGACAGATGATAAAACCATCACATTTTGGAGTATGTAAAATTTCCATCAAGAAAAGAACCCTACTTTTATGTATATTAAGGAAACTTTCCAAATGAAGGTCAACTTTCTCAGTCTCCTTAGAAAAATAAGACTCGGGGATGAGAGGAAGCAATCGTGCAGCGTTTCCCAAATGTTTAAAATTTAACAGTACATTTTATTCTGTGCATGTTTTTTCAGAAATATGTCTCAGTAAGTTCAATTAATTTTATGTGGGTGTAGGGTTGCAGTCTGTCTTTCTAATGGGATCATCTCAATCAGAATAATTGATTTATAATTCTTCCCCAACCATTGCAGCTCTCTGCTGCAATCTATCCATCCCACTCTTATCCAGCTGATTCTCAATCCCTCATTTGGGAATCACTGCAGTGATTTGGAGATCCACACTATCCCATTCATATCCTTAATGTAATACAGCAGTGTAGGAGCCAGGATAGTAAGGCTAATAGTAGTATCGGAGGCTTTATCTTCACAAGCATGTAACAAAAGAACTAGGACAGCAGATTCCTCAGCCTTTATTAGTTTTTTTAGTTGGGAGGAGGGAGTTGTGTTTGGTTTTAGAGAGTGGAAAAGTATGCTTTATTTTCATCAGAGATTCATGAGAAATCAGTGTCCGAGGCAAGTCCTGCTGAGAGACATCTGTGTAGCAATCTGTACTCTTGTCCACTGCTGGAAAAATCAGCAGAGAGGCTTCTGCACCAGATGTTGAATTAGGTAGCCCATAGATATTTTCTGAGTCAGTGGTTCTCAAACTGCAAGGCTGTCACCACACGACCATGCTGAGTTGCCAAGAATTCTCATATCCTCCCTGCATTTCCTTACATATTGACCTAGAATGTCATAACCATGCATCAAGTAAGGGCAGTAGTCCATGAAGCTGAGTGAAGCATCTCTCTTTGTGACTATTTGGCTATATTCAGACGTAATATAAATCCTTTGTAAACCATTATATCAAACCAACACTGGAAGCTGGTTTGCAAACCAGTTTGTACCAATTATAATTGCCCTTATGTCTGAATTCACAAACCACTGACAAATCACTTAAGGACATTGCTCTATGGAGCACTATGGTGAAAGAAGCGAATTTGTGAAGTTTAGAAGCTGAGGGCAGAGTTGTACATTTGGAAGCTGAAACCATAGTGTGGGTTCTTATGCTTAGCATAGATAATTGTGTGGTGTAGTATCTGGACTAAGACTATACAGTCCCTTCATTTATTTTAATGTCTCTCGCTTGTACCCTACATCCTACAGAGGAATGGTAATGTCTCATCTCTGTAGGAACACACATCTCCTTGTCTGAAAGTGGTTTACCATCTACAGTACTAGATGATACAGTCCTCAAAATGGTGGGCTTACAAAGAATTATCTTATGATAGCATGACATTGCATTAAATCAGAAGGTGACTCAAAACGTTTTGTGAGGTCATTCTGTTTAAAGAGTTTTACCGTCATTCAAAAGCTTGCATACGTCTCACACCAACAAAAGAAGCTGGTCCAGTAAAACATATCTCTAGTAATAATTAAGGATTGCTCCCTTTCCTCTATTTTTTCATATGGCGAGTAGTGAAGCCAACAGGATTATTGCTCTATGCTAATTTTTAAATCCATGTGATTAAAGACTCAAGGTCTATCATCACTATTCCCACAAGCTTAATTCTAGGTGTTATTGGAAAGTGCTCTGCTGGCTTCCTTTCATCTACTTTGGAGTAGAGTTGGCCTGTAGTTTCATTTCTAACCATTCCATCTTGAAATCATGGTATTTTGTGTGTTTGAAGGCGGCGTGAGAACAAAACTATTTTTCCTTTAATCCATTTTACTCAGCCACCACCAGAGGTCAGTGTGGCTCCATGTATATAACAAAGATGAGTACAGTACAAACCTAACTCATTGTAGAGAGGAAATAGTGTATGTGTGTGTTAAATCTTAAACAAGTAAAAAACTACAGCCAAAAAGATAATGACTAACTGCTCTCATAAACCCTAAGATAGGACAAAATGGAAGAAGCCATGGAGTAAAATAAATAAATAGGGGAAGATGTAAAAGATCTCTAAAATCCTGAATGAGCTCTGTGCAGCAATATGACTGCATAGAATCCAAACCATGAAAAAGAACAAACATTTAGAGATAGTTTTCCTGGCACATATCTCCCCTGCAGAGAGAAAATGCAATCCTGACATTCACATAAATTGAATATTTTAGTTGGAATTTGGCTAGGGAACTAATACTGTTGCCTAACATCTGAACATTTTTAAAAAAAGAATCCTTGCAATACTGTATGTAAGATTTATGCAGTATTTATATGTGAAATTAAACTGTGCTGACAAGATTGCTTTATGTCTTTGGGAGATCAGATTTCAGTGCTCATAGAGAGCTACGGATTGGATGCTAACAGATTTCCATTACAAGTTAATCAGCAATCTCCATTAAATATACATGAATCTTTGTGTGTGATGGTTCTGTTAAAGAGCAAGTATTATTAATGGCAACTCGGTTGAGCCAGACAGGCAATCATAACAAGTTTTTGTGTTGGTCATTTTCCTTTTGAAGTGAGACAAGCCATGAGATGTGTGTAACGGAGTAACATTCTGGAGAAAAGGAAGCAAAAATATATTGAGACCAGCCATCAGCACTGAAAATGGGAGGTTCTGCATATGCAAGTGCTTCTCAAAGAAGCCTGGGGCATTCTAGTTTGCCCAAGGCATGCTAACAAAGCATTCATATGGCAGCCCTTGAGCCTAGTTTTGATCCCAGAGGTATTACTGTACTAAGGTACTAACCTCATTTGTTTAAACTGACCTATTCCTGACATATAGCTGGGTAGATGAAATCAAAATTTACTCCACTGGTACAGAAGAGGACACTTAAGTTTTCCATCTGTTTCATTCAAGGTCAATCAAAGAAGACTTGCGCAGCAATCAGCGTAGCTGTTATAGTAAGTGCATTAACTAAAGTAAAGGAGACTTCCCAGCTGGCTTCCCTGCCCACTGCTGCCCCAAAATTCTGATCTCTAATTGCCAGTCCAGAAAACTTGTGAAGGTGATAGCAGGAATTCATTCTGTATTAGAAAAATACTTTTCTGGATTCAGGTCAACCAAGCTAGATCAGTTCAGTTTCCACTAGGTTTGGATCCACAAAAGGTGCTGTTACTGCGAAATGTCATAGTAAGGGAAGGGGCAATGCAATATCCTGCTAGCACCTAAAATTAGGGCTCTGTCAGCTACCTGAGCAGAATAGATTTGTTCTGCCTAAATAGCAACCTTACAGAGAAGTTTTTAAAATTACCAGCTCACACAATACACCTGTCAGCCCAGCACTTAACAGTTATGAACCACTTTGCAGCTTGAGTAGAAAATCCTGCTGGTCATTCACTAGAAGGAAAAGTTTCTCATGCTGGGCAACAAGGTGAGTGGTGAATTGCAAGACTGACTTAATGCATCATATCCCAAGCCTAGACAAGAAATACGCCGTCTTTCCTTGCTGCCACTGTACCTTTTGAGACAGGTTGTGAACCCACTTTTTCCTGTGCGGAACTGGCCTACTGCCTCTGTGACGAATCCTTCAGTAAACCACTCTGGGGCAATGCTAAGCCTTGATACCATTTATTTTTCAAACCTGGCCATCCTCCATTCCTACCAAAGAACTAGAGCAAGTGCATTTAAAAGTGATTAAACATTGGCGCTACTGACAGCAACACACAAACACGCCCCACCCCCCACCCACTCTGCTCAGGGTGGCCCTTCCGACTCCAGGACTGTGATGGTGCCTCAGGACCGTGATGGGCAGATCCATTCCGAACCTGAAAAAATAAGTTCCTGAGGAGCCACCCTCACCAAATGGCCCTTAAGTCAAACAAGAGTGCAATCAGAAACACCCGACTCCTCTTTTAAAGGTGTGTATCTTCCTCAAACACATCTCCCTCTTCGCCTGCCCGCTTGTTAATGAGGACATCCCAGCTCTCAGGTCCATTAACAGCTCCCCCACCATTCACACTTGGCTTCTTTTCTTGCATTTCTGATTGGCTGTCGCTGGCTACATCCAAGGTCGGATTGTCATGGCAGCCGTTCTCCACAAACCGTAGCTCCTCCCCATGTGACTGAAAAAGAAATGGGACAAACAAGATGCGAGAGAAAATGTTTATTTATTTATTCAAAAGCTTGACATTTAGGAAGGAAGGTAGGCAAATCAGGAAGCACTTCCTACAATCCTTCTCCATCCTTCGAAGAATAAGAGTTCAAGTCAGATGCCACACTGGGACTCACCATGTTCTTCATTTTCGGCAAGCGCCTCTGCCAGCAGTTGTAAATCAGTCCTGTTATAATGATGATGACACAGATTGAGCCAATAATGACCAGCACCACAAAAAGCTTTCCATAGTCACTATGGGTCTGGCTGGGACGTGACTGGCAACTTGAAGTAGTTGTGTAGTTCTGAATTCCAATCTAAAAAGAAAAATGGTTGCATTTCCAATCTGTTCTCAGGACTTTGTTGCATAAATTGTCTTCTTCAGAGGCAACTTGTTCTAGAAATCTTTAGGCTAATGTTTTAAGTGAATCACTGCAGTAAGATGTGATATTTTCTCTCCGAAGATGACTAAGTCAAAATGGATTATGAATACTGCATACCACAATAAACTCAAATCTTTGGTTACTGAAAATAAGACTCTTGGCCTGAGCTCTAGCACAGCATAGCCCTGGATGGGGACAATGAATGGAGGGCATATGTGTTCGGAGATGGAGGCAGTGTGTTGTAGGAGGAAATTCTGCTAGATTGTGGGGAATCAGGAGTTGATAACAGAAGATGGGGTGCATATTATGTTGGCAAAGAAGGAAGAGGCAGTTCTTCTTTTGATTTCTAAAAACAGGTTCTGAGGCTCAGGTCTGTGAGACAGATCATCCACTGGGGGCTCCTTTTAGCCCCTACCCTTCAATTTTGCTCCCAAAGAAGAGCCTTTCTAATGAGCCATCAGAATTGGCCGCCATGGAATCAAGCAATAAGACTTCTTGCTGAAGGGTTTTGGTGTTCAAAGAAACTGATCAAAGGGGAGCCATTCTTTTTTGAGTCTGCTGCTTATGCATTCCTACAGTGTAGGCAGACACATGTGGATCTCACCTGTAGTGAGTTCTGTGAACTCTGTAGGTAATTTCCAGCTCACAGATATCATTCCACTAGTCTCTGCCTTATACAGTGCAGAAGTAGTATGTCACATTTTCTGAACAATCAGAGCACAATACTGGGGGAAATGAATTCCTCCAGGCAGCAAGTCCATTGTTATTGTGATTATTGGGTGGAAAGTTACAGACATCAACTGATAGTGTTTGTGATTAAATTTGTTGCAAGTGGGAGCAAACCTCTTCTCAATGTCTAAAGCATTTTATGAGTCATTTCTTTTAGGGATATTTTTGTTTGTTCTTTCTTCAGTTCTTTTAAAGCTATGTTTATCTACTAACAAGATTTTTTTTTTTAAAAAAAAGATGCAAACAGCAACACAGCTATCCAAATACAGTGAGGTTATTTCACACAAAATATATAGGATATCACTTCGATATCACTAAGAAGTCACTTGGGAGAATATTACACATTGGCTGATGTGATCATGCAGAAAGGCCCTCAGCCAATTTCTAAGTTCTTGTGACCTTGATTAAAGTGCTGTAGAGCTTCACATTGTCCATGTAACACGGTAGATTGGGTACAAAGCATGCCCAAGGACAATGTAAGGTCATATTTTCATTTGAACAGAGAATGAGATAAGCTTCCTAGACGACAAAGGCATTTCAGAGATCAAATGTGAAAGTTCAGCTGCTCCAAACAAGAAAACTATGAATCCCCGTGCACAGTGAATAGAAGAGATTTATAGGTTCACCATGCCTTCAAAAGACCCCACAGGAACATCTTCAGAAAGCTCCAAGTGATTTTTGGTGTGACAGATGCAGAAAATCATTTCTGCATTTCTCTATGCTTTTCAGCAAGGACAAGCAGGATCTCAAAAGACTATAATGGTAACTTTTAAAAAAGTGCACAGTGTAAAGAGACAATCCACAGAATCAGTCATAGCTAACAGAAATTGGCATTTGATGACTCAGCAGTTACTAGACAGGAAAGAAGGGATTTCTGTACTGAATGCTGAGCTATTGCTTTGCCTATTCCGGGCTCAGAGCCCAGCTAGGCTAGAGCATGGGGCTAATTTTCAAGGTGGGCAATTTAACTGCATTGTCTGCTGTGTGACTGAACATGGTCTTACCTCAGCTAAGCTCCTCCGCATGTCACCTAGTGCCAGGAGAACATCATTTGTTGGGACAACTCCTAAAGGATGAAGCACATGGAGGGGGGGATAGAAACATTAGTTCAATGTGCTCTTCTTTAATACACTTGCATTTCTGTAGAAGAAGAATACCTGTATTAAAGAAGAATTTCCTGAGTATATAATAATACAGGATATACCTTTCAGAGCACTAGATCAATTTCAGAACTCAAGAGCATCAGCTACAATGTGTGTAACATAGCTGTCAACTTTCAGTTTTGAAAATAAGGGATCAGCAGCCTCGAAAATAAGGGATCAGCAGCCTCACCTGTCCCGGGGACAGTCTATAGGATATCCAAAAATCCGGGATAGCAGTGGGAAGCAGCGGGAAACGGCGCTGGAATAAGGGAATTTCCCGCAAAAAAAGGGAAGGTTGACAGCTATAGTATGTAAGCAGAGACAGATGAAAGAGAGGAATAAAGGAATCCAGAAAGCAGGAAATATAAAATGCTTCCCTCCGCAAATCAGTGCTTCCACTTCAAATCTGATCTGCTGAATCCACTCTTTCCCCACTGATTGTTCCACTGCCAAATCTGACAGTACCTCAACCATAGCTTATGATTCTCAGAAATGTGGGAGGGTATCCCAGTGAAAATGATGGATGGCTTATCAGCTTTGCTTTCTTCCCAGACTGGCAATATCTGTAGTAGTGACCACACAGTGAAATGTCTAGAAAACCATTTGTCAGCTCTTACATGGCTTTCTTGTCAAACATGGTTATTTTCCCAGTCAGTTGGGTATAAGCCAAGGAGAATGTGGACAAGAAGAGGTGTGTTGAACTTCATCTCTTTTTCTGCCTCTTTTATACCAACTGATTGTCAATTTGTGGAGGAGATTACTTTAGTTCACAATATTGCTAAGGTCTATAATTTGACACATAGTCCCAGTGCCAAAATCACCAGTGATTACTAGAGTGGCAAGCCCTTTTTGATTACAGAGAAATGCCCTTACTGAACGATTAATTTACATTCCATTGAAAATTCAATACCAACCGTATATGATTGGAAAAACAAATGGCTTCGTATCAATTGTGCAGAAAGTCATCATTTAATGAGGCAGTTTATTTAACAATGACTGTGATATACTTTTATGATCCTTTTTACCATTGGTAAATGTCTAGACTCAATCTTAGTGATTTGTATTAAAAAATGAAAAGTAAAATACCACATGATGTACTATTGTTTAAAAGTTGCCTCCCCCCTTTTGTTTGTTCAATAAATAAATAAATGAAATGAAATGAAAAATAAAATAAAAACAACAAATCTTCTTAGGCAAACAGATGAGACCATTCCAAGCTGCCCTGAGATAATTATTTTAGAATTCTAGAGATACTGCAACAGTTTTCTATCAAAGTTTTCTGCAGCCACTTTCAGCAGCATAAGGAAAGCCACGCATGTTTCCAGGAAGAAGGTTGCCCAGTTATAGACAAAAATTAATGGGGATCTAAACAACGCTTCTCTTTCCCCTGAACTGCCTCAAGGCAGGGATGCAGGGACTGTCTTGGCAGCCCAAGGCTAGTGTGTTTCAATATTACTACATATTATTATATATTTCACACAGATCACCTGCTGCGTTTTCCTTTTTATGTTTTTATTTTCATGTAGATGTTATGTCTTTAGTATTTGTTGTATGCTGTCTCAAAACGGATGGAATGTTCTAATGAATAAAACAAAATAAACACCATATGTCCTAGAGCATCCTAGGCTTATGGCCGCAAAGGAAGCACATTACTGTGTGTTGTTTCCATAGAGACCAAAGTGGACTGAGAAGCCTCAGGCCAAGAGGCATCGAGACACTTAACAGGGATTCTCAGATTGAGTAGCAGCACTGGTGGCTGCTTGGTCTCTCTCTGTACAAATCTCAAGAAAGGTAGCCACAGAGTGACTGAAATATTCTAAATTGAGTAGCCTTGGAAGTAATCAACTTGGTGGGGGTAGCAAAGCAGAGAAACTCTTCCTCTGCTCACTTAAATGGTTTCACAGAGACCCATCACTGCGACAGTTCCACTGAACCAAGACATTGCATTTGGTGTGACAGTAATGGTGCCAGTTTTATTGAAATGTTGCCCATTGCAAATTTGAAATAATAAAGCATTAAGAATTATACATACATGCACACGGATACAGTGGTACCTCGGGCTACATACGATTCAGGTTACATATGCTTCAGGTGACAGACTCCGCTAACCCAGAAATAGTGCTTCAGGTTAAGAACTTTGCTTCAGGATGAGAACAGAAATTGTGCTCTGGCGCCACAGCGGCAGCAGGAGGCCCCATTAGCTAAAGTGGTGCTTCAGGTTAAGAACAGCTTCAGGTTAAGAACGGACCTCCGGAACGAATTAAGTACTTAACCCGAGGTACCACTGTACTTGCAGCTGCGTTTCAGTGGGGAAACACTGACATCATGTTCCACTGTTTTGCCCTACTAAAATGTTATGGGGGAGATTATAGAGAAAAAGTGACACGGGACACTGCTTGTGGTGCCACTCATATATTAACCATAACATGTTCCAAACTTGCATACCCAATTGCCACTGCTGTGAGCGCTAGCTATCTTCTCCCTGCTTGGATGCCTACTCGGCGTGAGCCTATCAATATGTCTTTGCAACTGGGTTTTTCTTAAAATAAGAAACTTCTGGCAACCACAGCACCATATAACTAAGGGAAGGGTGTTAGCTATCACATTCTAGAATCTGTTTTTGGCTAGCCACCCATAAACTGTTAGTTGTGAGAGTAGGTCATAGAATTGTAGAATTGGAGGGAGCATGAGTATCATCTAGTCCAACTTCCTGCAATGCAGGAATCTTTGCCCAACATGGGGCTCAAACCAACGAACTTCAGTCACATGCTCTACCGACTGAGCCAAGGTGATTGCTTTAAGAATTTTAAAACTGTTTTTAAAAGGTTGCTTTTAACTGTTAGAATTTTTATTGTAATGTTTTAATACTGACAAATTTGCTGCTCTGGGCTTCTTTGGAGGAAAGGTGGTATAAAAACTGAATAAATAATCATTATCAGCATAATAATTTCCTCTCTAAAGAAGTGGTAGCTATTTTAAATGCATCGAGTAGAGTTCAGAAACTTGAATGGAGAGACAAAAGTGTTATCTGTGAATCACAGGTCGCCCTAGGAAAGGAAATAAGAAGCAAACATGGAGGAAGATTTAGAAATAGCACACAAAGATTGGAGCCATCAAAAGTATAGTGAGAGATTCTTCAGATCTTTTGCCCTTCTATAACAACTTACCATGTTCTCCAGCCAAGGTCATTAGCAGATGTTTGTCGTTCTCATTGGGTTTGCTTAAGGAGATCAACCATTGGCCTTGCAATCCATTTTCATACCTGGAGAAAGCATCATCCACCAGTGCCAGCAACTGAAGGCCCCTCTCCACACGGAAGTCCTCCTGCAAAAAAGAACATTTGTCAGTCTCTTAAACAGAAGCCGGTGCATCCCATTGAATGCAGACACTCCTCCCACCCTACCAAACCTGTCAGCAGGGGGAAAAAGCCTGTGGGTTTGGGTGCAGGTTTTCAGGAAAGGAGACCTAGGTCAGTCTCAAGGCCAAGCCTATGGAGGATATTGGATAACAGCAATGACACTTTGCAGACCAAACCACTCCTTTACTACATTTCCCGTTTTCTTCCTGCAAACACCTACTGTTCACATATTTTCCTCTTATGTTCCCTAATAATGCCCTCGCGTGGTATGTCCATCTTGGTTGCTGCCATTTTCAAAATGCAGATTTACTTGAAACCCAGTTTCATGGTCCTAATTTCACCAAAAATTCATTTAATTCATTTCATACTATCTGGTTGCATAATCTTGACTTCCTGTATGAAGAGAATTTATTCACCTTGAAGTCACATTTCAGGTGGCAATATTCCATTTTGATATAAAACCCATTTCTGTAACTGGAAAATTCAAACTCTTTCTTACTTACTTATTAATTTTAGTTTTCCAGTTGCAGAAATGGGTTTTATATCAAAATGGAACATTGTCACCTGAGATGTTGGGGAGAAGGAAAATCACATAGAAAACCAACAACTTTCCTCTTTTAGAAAAAAAAAAGACCTTAAAAACTCAGCCCCCACTATAAGGAAAGAAATAGCATCACAGTAAATGTATAAGAATCCAGAGGTGCCTGATGCATTGAGGTAAACAAGCCGGGGTCAGAAATCACTTGGATCCTATGTACATCTCCCACCAAGCTCCTTGGAGGAACGGAAAGATACAAAGAGTAATAAAAGTGTTTTAAAAAGTCCAGGGGCCTCATCATTCAGCTCAGATTGTAGGTCAAATAGGAATGGTCCTTTTCTACTGACATGATGCACATCGCTTGGCAGCACCTCTCCCACTTCTCCCTTTCTATTCTTGTTCAGTTGCTGTGCCAACCTAAAGGCCACCCAGATTATTAATACGAGCTAGCAGTGCTGGTTGCTATGGCAACCTCAAGCGCTCAGGGCAGGCACAGGCCTAATTGGGAAAGACAAGAAGGAGTCAGGCCTGAGTCACAAAGACCCATCAGCACCGCACCTCACAAGGCGAAGGTTATGGATGCCAGCTGAGGAAAACTTATGTTGCCACGGCCAGGCAAATAACTTGTCAAAAGGGGAATGGAGAGAGGACATAGGTGTTAAGGCCCCTCAGGGGCAACAAGCTTGGGGCCACACAACTATAACCATAGCATAAATGATGCCTCTCCAAGCAGCCACCCAACAGACCAGAGTTCAGATTAACCATGCAAAGTTCTTTAGCATGAGTCAAAAAAATTTGCATACAGGGAAATAGTCTTTCCATTCACATGAGTTGCACAAAAAGAAACGAGGGGAAAGCACCAGTGCTTTTATACATGTCGAATAATAATAATAATAATAATAATAATAATAATAATAATAATAATAGTTATAGTTTACATTTCTATGCAACCCTTCACCCAAAGATCACAGGGTGAAACACAAAAATATTTAACATAGCAATAAACAAAAACAGTAACCCCCACAGAAAAAGTTTAAAAGGCCTTGGGTTGTTTAATTAGCCAAAGACTTGGGAGAAGAGGAATGCTTTTTGCCTGGCGCCTAAATATATGTAACGAAGGTGCCAGGTAAGCCTCCCTGGGGGAGCATTCCACGAATGGGGAGCCACTACAGAAAAGGCCCATTTTCGTGTTGCTACCCTCCAGACCACTCATGGGGGGGGGTCACATGAAGATGGGTCCCAGATGATGATCACAGGGTCCAGGATGGTTCATATGGAGAGAGGCAGTCCTTGAAGTATTGTGTTCCTGAGCCGTTTAAGGATTTATAGGTCAAAACCAGCACTTTTAATTAGGCCCAGAAACAAATTGGCAGCTAGTGCTGTCAGGCCCAGGATATATCAGACAGCATGAGGATGGTGCTAAGCACAGTTATATTCAGACAGCATAATGTATTTAGAAAGTAACTGAACAACTGTTCGATCGGATTTGGTGATCTTTAAAAGGGAATTTCTACTGCCACTAGCTCCATAAGACATGTACTGAAAAGACAGAAATGCTCCATCTTTTAGACACCAACTTGATTTGAAGTTCATTTTGTTTTAGCCAGCAAGCCATGACTCCTTTCAGGTTATTCCATGTCTTTCCACCTCACCCCCTGGTTTTCCTTTTCTCCCTCCCATCCAGCAGTCAAACAAATTCTGTTTAGCATATTCAGTTCTCCTTGGGCAGTTTTGGGAAGGGGGGCCAACTTCTACTTTTTCTCCACTTTTGCAAACCTTGGGCTTCTCCAAAACCTGCTGCTACCTCTCACCTGTGTGTATATATGCACTCTAAGTACTGAGTTTTCTATTAGGATTGAGATATGATAACTGAGAAATAAGATATTTCATTTCTATCAAGCAGCTCAAAATTGGCGGCAGCCACAACCTTGGCAGAAAAGGGAGTTTAAACAGGACCCACACCAATCTATTCAAGCTATTCTTCACAACCATGAGAACAAGAACATCCCTACTTTAAAAAAAACCTGAATATAGTCAGAGTTCTGTATATATGACTCAATTCTGTGGCAGGCTGCTAAATATGACATCCAGATTTCTAAGGCCCTTAAACACAGTAATAGTAGATTGCCAGGAAAATAAAGCATGTCCACAATAAAATTGAAATAAATTTCTGCTCTAGAGTGGGTTAGATAAGGGGTGTTCTATTTTTAAAATTATGAAATACAGTTTTGACCTTTTCATTTTCACAATTTTTTAAAGGACTTCCTCACCGCTACTATAAAAAGAGAAAGGTTTCTCATAAACAGCTCCATTACACATTCTTATGAATGGAGATCTTTAACAGAAAAGGGACTTTAGATCATCAATTAACTGCAGCTTTATGGGATTGATGGAAGAGTAATGGATTAGAGGAATGTGTCTGGTTAACAGACACTAGATAGTAAACAAGATAACAGGGAAGCAAAAGAGGCACTTAAAGAAGATTTAGTGGCAGCAGGCTGGAACTCTGAACTACTCACACTGGGAATTGCTTGCTTTTATTTCTAGCATCATTGAAGCAACAATAAAGGAATACCTTAACCCTTTGGCGCATAAGTGTGAATGTGTAAAAAAGAACATTATCTGATTTTTCTGTAACTACCAGAGAAAAATAAGCCAGGTTTCTTTCTATAACTATTAGAACAAAATTAGCTAAGTCTTAATAAGTTTGATGAGCCAGTTATTACAACCAGCCAAGTAAATGCACATTTTCTCTCTGTCTCTCACTACAGATACCTGGTATCCTTCCATCATGTGAATTTAAAATTATCAGAATGCCTGCAGAAGTTTTCTATTTGTTCTGAATCAACAGCTGATTACTATTTATTTTCTCTAACTAAAACTCTGCAAAAATAGAGCTCTAAGTTAACATCTCCTTTGTGTTTCAATAGTTTAAATTTATATAAACTTCAAATACTAAACCAGCCCCAAATAGGAGAAACAACTTTAAAATAATAGAAAAGACTAATAACCATATTTTTTCTCCTTCTGGATGGTTCAGGGGGGAAATGTCTGCTTGCTATTATTATTATTATTATTATTATTATTATTATTTTGTTCTTAGTGTTACTGTTGTTTATCATCATCATCGTGTTATTTTAGTAATGTAATTCCAGTGGCTTCTGCCTATGTGTAAGCCCAAACACATACATTGTTGGTTTTCATACAGGAGGCGATCCACCTTTATTAATAAAAACTTCACTAGCTGAATAAGCTTGTAGCCCACCTAGCTAATTGCCCACCAATCTAGCAGTTCTGTCAAGTCTTTTAAGATTGTCATCCAAAGCCTTGTTCCAGGTGCTGTCACCATCTGAGGTATGGAAGTTGGTGACTCCTCACCATTAGAATACCCTTCCCAAGCCTTGTCTGTTACCTATGTGACACCTTTTGGGCACAAACATATTTGTTTTCCAAGGCTTTTAAGAATCATTAAAACCTGAAATTTTAAATGGTTTTATCTGAATTGAATTCTTAACTGATATGTCCTTTGCTGTTTTTATTTTGTATGTTTTCATATTATGTATATTGCATTTTTTTTTTGTATTTGTGAGCTACTGTGGTAATGAAGGTGCAGAATAAAAAACCATAAAAGTAAATAAATAAGCAAAGTAAGTTTAACTTGCTATGCCAGCTCAATCAGCCAGCAGTTGAGTTCATTCACTCACCAGTTATGTTTACCCACAACCACTTAGTCAGTTTGTTGCCTTCTGGTCCACCTATGCCAAGGCACTAAGGTAACCGAACATGTCTAGGTACAGATGGAGACTGGAGCAAGGGCCATATATTATTGGTTCATCTGGCTTAGGGTGGCCAGTGTGGTGCCTTCTTTTTAATACTGGACCACGACTCCTCTCATTGGCCATGCTGATGAGGGTTGGAATCCAACAACATAAGGAAGGCACCACATTGGCTACCCCCAGAGCACCGGCACTTCTTTTTTTGCTGACCATGGCAGCCATTTTGTGCTGGCACCCACAACACTTTTATCAGTGTAGAAGTACAATCACCTCATTTTTAAATAACTTACAAAAGCACTGGTTACCCCGATCCAGATCCTTGGGAACTACTGTATAATAATGGTTAAGTCCAACCGTCCAGTCAGGACTGGTCAAATGTTTTCATGTGTATGTGTGTGAAAACACATGAAGATGAATTATGTCTTGTTTGTGTTTGCATTAAAACAAGAATATGCTTTTGTATGTTGCATGCCATTGTGTACAGGAAATACAAGATAGGTTGCTTGGATTCACAGATGGGCTTATTCCTCTTCTTAATATTCTGCTGTTGTATAAGAAGACTAAAGGCGAAGACAGAAATTCATTCTATGGGCACATAGAGACAGACAGAAGAAACTGAAGTTGCTATGCCCTGGAAGTATACTGACAGCACTGATGAAAGACAGACTTTCTCCCCTCCTGGTCAAAGCATAAGGTAAACCAGTTCTGTGGGTTTTGCAGCAGAGTTCATTTACACAGCATTTATTGGCTAACAGCTGTAGCCCTTCCTCCTGGGAGCTATTTAACAATGTTCTCAAATGGATTGTGCTTTTAAAAAAGTGCCAGATGAACAGATAATTGTGTGAATTTTCAAGAAGCACCTTTTTAAAAAAGAAAGAAAAGCACAATATAGGTTTTTAACTGCTCCAGGGAGGGGGTCAGAAGGGACTACAACTGTAAGCCAATCGGCACTGCATGCAGCCAGATCTGCAACTAACTGTACATATATTGTGAAGATGGGAATAATCTGCAGCAACTGTTATTTGCAGGTACATAAGCAGCTTAAAGTTTGGAGTCCTGTGGTTTGGAGATGGTATATCAACTATTCTACACATTATGTTTACTGAAATAAATGTTTGCTTTGCTTGACAAAAGCAGAATCTTACTGCATATTAGCCTAAATTAGTTATCTGGTCATGCCTATCAAATATCTCCTCTGGCAGCATCAGGGTATTATTTTATACTCCTAGATGTGACATCATTGTAATTACCTAGAAAGACAAGTTGCAGGGTTGCTTCTTACAGAACTTCAAAAAGACATGAGTGCTCCCGCTCAAATCTCAGTTATGTGTCACCTATGAGATGTGAGAAAGCCAAGATCCACGCCTCTGTTTCAGAGACCTCATCAACATCAACATTTCAAAAAGCCTGATCCATGTATTCCCAGAGGGGTGTATTTGCCACTTCCTCAAGGCTGGATCCCATGCTACTCCAATAAGATACAGATGACTATGGCTGCAATCCTATGCCCATTTATTTGGCAACAAAACCCTACTAAATTAATGGGACTTCCTTCCATGTAAAAATTCACGTGGAGTTGCTAGTATCAATAACTTATTTAAAGAAAAGAGGACAGAAATGTAGTAAATAATGTTAATAAAAAGCAAGCCACTCACGCAGTCAATGTTGTCAGACATGTTCAAGATTATGTAATTTTTGCCTGCCAGGTTGCTCCAGTCCTTGCAGGTCACCTGAAAAACACACACAGAGAACTCCATGAATTTAGCAGGAAATTATTTGGGAAGTAGTATAAACCTGTGAACATATGAAACTGCCTTGTGCTTCTAGACCACTTCTCCCAAGGTCTCATGCTGAAACCATGAGGTGTCTAAGGCTGTGTAACCACTAACCCATTTATAGCACAAAAATGTAGCTTTCCTCAATCCAGAATATTTCATGCTCGTTCTCACAATGCTGCTTTCAATCTAGATTGATACTTGTTTGAAAACCTTCCATGCCTTTTCCTCCCAGCACATGTCCCAGGTGAATGAAGAAGTTATTGCGATCTTGGTAAACAGCCACTCACAACATCATTGGGCAGGTGTTGATACACACACACACACACACACACACACACACACTCCTTGCTTACATCTCTTTTCAAATGGACACACTCTGCAGGGTAATGCTGAATCATTCTGCAATGAAATTTTGTTTTCAGAATGAAACCAGTTTCTCAAGAAGTGCTGCGGGGCGGGGGGGGGGAGGTCAATAGACGTAGATTCGGTGTAGACTATGTGGGGAAAAACAAGTGCTTATTCTCCATTGTTTCTAGAATAAAATGTTGTGTGTACACAGCTTAAGAGTGAAGATAGATGTACAGTGGTACCTCGGGTTAAGTACTTAATTCGTTCCGGAGGTCCGTTCTTAACCTGAAACTGTTCTTAACCTGAAGCACCACCTTAGCTAATGGGGTCTCCTGCTGCCGCCGCGCCGCCAGAGCCCAATTTCTGTTCTTATCCTGAAGCAAAGTCTTAACCTGAAGCGCTATTTCTGGGTTAGCGGAGTGTGTAACCTGAAGCGTATGTAACCTGAAGTGTATGTAACCCGAGGTACCACTGTATGTTTGAACAGGGGCAGGTGTGGCTCCAGTGGGCTGCCAAATAAGCTGCACTCCCCCTTGCCTTCATTTCTGAAGACACTAGTACAGATTATGGATCAAATCTTGGTTGTCCCTTCCTTTTTGCCCTTCCCACACATGCTTCAGTCAAGCTTACCCACTTCTTTCAAGTACCGGCATGTTTATCTGATCTGATCAAGTGTTTTTTGAGATATTTAAAATGCTTTGGGAAGGAGGTGGGAGCAGTGGCGTAGCGTGGGTTGTCAGCACCCGGGGCAAGGCGCCCCCTAACCCGTGGATTTGCGCCCCCTAACCCGTGGATTTGCCCTAACCCCAGATGTTGCGCTTGGTGCAGCCAGCCCCCCCTGCACCCCCCACGCTACGCCACTGGGTGGGAGGGCTCTCGGACCCTGCCAGAAACTCATGCTGCCTTTCCAAAGCCTGGTGCCATGTTTATTCGGCTTGGGGCTTTGGGGGGGGGGAGAGTGTTGTAGCCAAATTTTGGCATCACTCCCCACGACAAAGCAGTGAGCAGCCCACAGGTTTCATGTCAAAGTTCTCTTGTGGCCACTTGGTATGAAAAGTTGGACCGCCCTAATCTAGTAGAAGAGGCTACTAGTTTGAAATATAATGGGATTAGCTGACTATTTAAGTGCTCTCTTCAGGATCTCAAAGAATGAGCTAGGTTGCAAGAGCTATAACTAAGTGATGGTGCTGTCCAGGAGGGGTTAGGCATTTCTTCTGCTCCCCTCACCTGGCCGGTATGAGGGACTGGCTGATACTGGAGACAAACACACATCTGCTCTGTGTTGGATCTGTGACCTGGGAGCTTGTATGAAAACTTAATGGAGAGGCAAGATCTGTTGGGGTGTTAATACTGTGAGACCCTTCATCCTATGCTCAGATTGTATATATGTATAAATAAAGACATATATTCTAAAGACACCACAGCCTCCACTTCATTCTAAGGAAACCAAACATTAGGTAAAGTGCAGGCACCTCTGGAATCTCTCACCACTCAGAGATTGGGGTAGCATGCAATAATATATTTGACAAGCATTTGCTGGCATATAGGAAAGTAATCTTGTTTCCCAAAATCTTGGCCTAAATTCTGTGTAAAGACGTGAGTTAAGGTCTATTCTTTCCCACGTTCAGCAGCATGCATTAAAAAGAAATGTCTAAAGAACCACCTTCTCCACACAAGCCTGCCTGAATGTTACACTCATCATCAGAGACCTTCTTCAGGTCCCCCTGCCTTGTAACGTTAGGGTTGTGATGACCAGGGACTTCTCAGTCAAAATGCATATTTTTAAAATTCCCTTCCTAGGGAAACTCCCTGGGGCCAAACCTCATGTCCTACCAGCACTGAGTGTGAGTGAAAATTATTTTATTTGTCCAGCTTTCCAGAACGTTATCCAGCATCTTTTAACACTGTGGGAATTTTTTTTTATTGATGCTGCTGGTTTTTAGCTGTATTGTATGAAATGCTTTTAATTTTTCTGCTGTTTTTATCCTATGGTTGCAATTATTGCTTCTATGGCTATGAGCACCTAGGAGTTTTGTTTTTTAAGTGAAGGGCAGCTTACAAATATTTAAAATAAATGCTTGCTTGTTAACAGGGAAAATGACACAATTCTTCATGGTCTCCATATAAAAAAAATAAGAGACAAAAGCAGAAAGTTTCCTCTGCTCCTCTCTTGTCACGAACATACACTTTAACTGAAAGACTGGAACTACCTCTTTGGGAAGGAGTATCACTTATTTCTGTAGCGCAACCTATCCTTGGTTGGCTCTACCGAACACAATAAGATGATGAGGCAGTTTGTGCTAATTGCCAGGGTGGCATTCCACCACCACCTCCTTTTCTTTTTTGACAGAGACAAATCTACTCTGCTATTTTCCAGATGGAACTAAATGCTAGGATGCCTTGCCTGATCACAGGAGTGGCCCATTTGAATGAATGCATTCTCACTATGGGGTCCTCAAAGACCCATCCACATATAAAGCTACACAACCCATCATAGAGCACTAATTGTTCTTATGCACAACTATGCACTTGAAGGCCACATTGCTCCAGTGGGGAAAACCTCTTCTACACAATACACCACAAATGACTCATATTCATGGCATTTTCTTATTGTCTACCTTTTAGTACCAATTGACTTTCTCATTTTGCAGATTAGAATATTAGTTTCTGTATAAAAATAATAATACTGCGTGTTCACCAGAATTAATTCCCCTGAAACTAACTTCAAGGTTGAAATACAGCTGTTTGTCAGCATTATTTTTCTAACCTTTAACAATGGAATAAAATACGTTGACAATTACCGCATAGAATTTGTTTCGATGTTTTAAAATGTATTAAAACGCAGCAAATCAAGGTTGATTTCCCACAGCTCAAAGGAAGAGAAAAACATTCCCTCTTGTTTAAATGAGGAGCCTTTTATACACGAGTACCATTTACTAGATATTGGATGAAACAGGAGTGTATGCTTTATAGAAGAAATCTGAAAAAGATCCAGTTGGAAGGAATCAATGAGGAAGAAGGGATGTCTCCTACAATTCAGGAACTGAAAATTCCTGGACTATAAAACCTGGACTCAAGAGCTGTTACTCCTAAACCTCAGCATCTCAGCACGGCTATACTTCTACAGCATTTCAGGTTCATGCCTTTTATGTTGCTGCTTAAAAATTTAAAGGCCATTTCACACTCGTACTAGCATGAAGGAAATTTAAGTAATTGTATGCAAGTTGTTTGCCCTTGCCTTTGAAACACTGGATTATAACTGAAATATTCAACATGCAAACAGACACACACAAAGGAATATTACCTGGGTCAAACTCCAAGGCACTCCTGTGGACAGCACAGCCGTGTGGACATCTTCAGTTTGCAGTGCAAAGCTCCGTTCTGCTGCAGTAGTTGCTGCGACTGGAAGCTTTGTTCTATTCTGACTGGGAGTGGAAGTGGAAGTAGGAGCTGGGTTATCAGTCCAGTCCCAGAAACCCACTGAAGAGCTGGGGTTTGATGGGCTGCTAGAAGACCTAGAAAACGTCTCAGCAACAGGAGTGCTGTCCCCATGCGATCCTGCTCTTAGAAAATCATCTCCTGTCTTCTCCGCTGTAGACATTTCTGGGGCCACTGTCCCTTCTATGGAATCTCTTTGTCCCATTTCTGCTCCTGCTATGGGCTTTTGCCTCTCCCCTCTTGTGGTTTCCACTTCTTTTACATCAGCTCCTACTGTACCTATTGTTGCTATGGGTTCTCTGAGTTCCCCCCCTCCTCTTACTGTACCTTCTGAAGAAACCTCGACAGGGACCTCTGAGACAAGCTGAGGTGCTTTCGGAGTGGCTGACAAAATGGAGGACAGAGGCAAGAGGCTGGGTCCCATACTGCTCCCTAGATCAAAGCCTGAGGAAACATGTTCAGGAGCAGATTCTTCCTCTTGCCTGTCTGCAGCTGTTTCAGTCACTGGACCCATTCTGCTGGTTGTTGTGGAGAAAAGAATTGAGAACAATGAGTCCTGGCTAGGTGCTTCAGGAAAAGCGCCTGGTGTTTGGCTGCTCTGAGGAGGTCCCCTTGACTGGTTTATAGGAAGTAATCCTTCCTCTTCCTCAAGGACACTGGTGGAAGGAGCTTCAGAGTCAGGTTCAAGGGAATCAGATGGCTGATGGAGAGTGGATGTTTCCCAAGGATTTTTAGCTTGTGTCCCATTTCGTTTAGGCAGGGCCTTCTGGGAGGCTAGTGGAAAACTGTAATCTAAAGAGAGGAGGAGAAGGTTTCATGAACAAACAATCCAGGAAGACTGGGAAATAGGAAACACACTCCTGAAATCTTCTTCTACCTTATATGACACTGCATAGATGTCTGGTTAGCAACCAATTATTCTAGTTGATCTACCATCCTTATTCACCTGAAATTTTCCTTCTGTCTCAAAAGACTTCACCAATTTTCTCTCTCAGCTCCTTCAAGCTGAACTTCCCCAGGCAGCTTTATCCTCTCAGTTTACTTCAAATTGCTTGTCAAAACCCATTTTCCCAGCAAAGCTACACAATGCTTAAAATCTTACATTCCCATGTAGATGGTACATGCAAATTTCATTCACCCGCATTAGAAACATTCATTCTTTCCCCCTTGACATTTTTCTTCTTTGTTCAAAACACTCTCCAGAGTATGAAAAAAAACTTCATTTATGAAGCACAATGTACATTGGTCATAAACCCTTTAAAATGATTCATTGCCAATCATTCATGCTCAACAGGCTGAGTATCTAAATATAGACATTGATTATTTCGTTTTATTTATTTATTACTCACCTTCACCCTACAGTGAAATAAATATTCCATAGTCAGTTTAATTGCTCACTGGACACAACTTTTATTGATTATGGTAATAATCCAGGTGGTATAGCTTAGGTCAAGTATCCAGTTTTCCCTCCCCAGCCCAGAGGCTGGGGAATCAGAAGAGAGTTATATAGGCATCAGGGACCCACCCTGGCACAGGCCCCTTGCCCACAACCTGTGTGCCTAATGATAACCCTCACTCAGTCCCATGAGCTTGAGCTGAGTCTTTGGAGCAACCCCACCTAAGATCCCCTATGTGGTTCCTCCATTTGACTACAGATCCTGCCCAAGTCACCTCCCTTTCCAACAAATAAAGTTATGGCAAAAGCTTATACTCAACTTACATAGCTCTACGATGAGGGTGAAAACCTCACTACATGACCACCAAGTTTTGCAAAGAGGAAAGTTCCTGTCAACCAGTGGGCAAAAGAAGAAGCTTTTCACCCCAGCAACCATCCAAAGCCTTGTCACCCATGACTAGCTCCAGCCAAGCAACCCCTTGCAGTGCCCACACTGGCTCCTCACCCCAATTGCACACATAGAAGAAGCAAGTCCATTGTGAACGGGTGATGAGTAAGGGGGATGGGTTGCATTTAATCAGCGTACCTAATCCCTGATGCACAGCCAATGTTGATATACTATAAGTTCACACAGAAGATACAGAGAATCTCAGATGGCACTACATAGTCATGGTGAAGGAACTCCGACACCATGGTGAATCCCACAGCATCTCTCTCTCTCTCTCTCTCTCTCTCTCTCTCTCACACACACACACACACACACACACACACACACTCCCCTCAGCACTACTTTCCGCATTCCAATTTTATGGAATTTTAGGAGGGTAGGGTTTCTCCCCCAATCAAGTTGAATGCACATAGCCCAAGTGAATAAGAAAAAAGAAGAAGTGATACAGCCAAACAGCTGCTCAAAGGGCAGCAGGGGGCTTGATTTAGTTTCCCAACAACAGCTGATCAGCACTATCACTAAGTATCTGACCTGGGCTTAAGTGCACATGTTGCTGGACTGCTGCCATGATGTCCAATTTATATCCCATAAGGCAAAGTCTAGAATTCTGGGGTGTTGTTGTGTGGCAGTGAATACCACCTCTCTGGATAAAAAGATATGCACTCTGTAACAACATGATAATTAATACAAATGCTGCTGACTTGTGTTTATTGTGAATGCAGCTTTAGATACCTTAGAAGAGAATGGTTTCTATTCTGTTGGCTCCTATTTGTGGTCATTTGATCTCTCTAGACTATGTTAATATGCTGTATCTCTGCTGTTCTATTTGCAAACTCTAAACCAGCTTTAGTATCATATTTTGCCTTAAAAGCAGCTCCATTTGCACCAGAATCAAATGTGTCACGTAAACACAACCTACCTTTGGGGTGTTTCAACATCTCGTTTAGTGCAAGCTACTGTCTTCACTTCAGTGCTGTTCACATGCCATACTTCCTTTTCCCCCTCAATGAGCTACACAGCTCACAGGCCCAGCATGTTAGTTTAGTCCTCTGAACTGGCGGGCACACACACAAGCCTGCTGCTTTATCCAAGGCTGCCCCTGCCAGTCTTCATTCAGATGGCCTACTAACTTCAGATGAAAATCTTAATCCAAACGGTGCTGGCCAGAGCACAGATGCGATTCATGAAGTAACTATCCTAAGTCTGAGCCACAGATCATGAACTGGGTATTATATGCTCTCCCTAAGGAAATGATGTACTCTGTTTTAAGGTCCTCAGGATGGACATTGGATAGCTTGCTGGAAAAAACCAAAGCATAACCTGTCCCCAGTGGGAAGGAAAGCCCTGCCTAAGGTAATGCAAAGACAATGATTTAAAGGGTAGGTGAAAGGAGATTTTGCTTGTGTTCCTTTTTGCAACTCGTAATACATTTTATCTTTGAGTGAATGGAGATACTAAAACAAATGCATAAAGGGCAAAACAGACTACCAGTTATTAGATCAATTAGAACATAAGAGGAAAATTCACAAGGTACGACCAGCCATTTTTTGCTTCCTAATCTTCCTTAATAGTTTAAATATAAGAGGCACAAAACAGTGTCCCAATCTAATACCACTAAAGCCAAGAGTTTATTTCTTTAAAAAGGGAAAAGCCAGCCATACATATATTATGGCAACCAAGCAGCCACCTGGAACCCACCAAGAAACACTTCAGTGTAAAGTCTGTTCCATACAGGAGCTAAAAGGTGTTCAGAATCTGGTAAAAATGCAAACAACTGATCATAAATTGAAGTGTGGAAGTGATTCATGCTGGTAATCTCCTTGCCCAGCATGAGAATTAGGACAAAGGAAGCACTTTTTTTCCACACAGTGCATCATTAATTTATGGAAGTCACTGCACAAACACAGAATGATAGTCCTAGCTTAGATGGCTTTAAAAAGGGATTAGACAAAGTCATGGAGGATAGGCTATTCACGGCTATGAGTCACAATGACTATTGCAATCTTTAGGTTCAGAGGCATACTGATGGTGAGCAACAACAGGAGTGGGTTGGTGCCTTAATGTTCTGCTTCTGGGCTTTCCAGAGGTACTTAGTTTCACACTGTGGGAACCTTTGGTCTGATGCAAGAGTTCTCCTATGGTCAAGCTCCACCTATTTTGTCTGCAGTCGATACAAAGACTGCCCACATGGTAGTGCTAATCTAATAATTATTTTTTCCTAACCACCCATGTATATCTGTGGGTAAGTTTAAATCAGACAAACCAACAACAACAACAACAAAACCATACTTGGAAAAGGGTGGGCCCACTGTCTTACTTTTAAGAGATGCAATCTGGCTGTAACAGATTTATCTGATTAAACAGAGGGAAATTATATTAACTAGCAATTGAATTACTGCTAAGTAGAAGCCATCTTATTAAAAAAAAAAAGGTTTCTCTTGCTTTTCCATTAAGAGAAAATTCATTTCTATTACAACCAGCTTCCAAAATGGTCCATCAACTTCATAAAACAATTCTAAAGTCAGTATGCCTACCTCTTAACACTTAACTGATTATAGGATCAAATAAGTACCGATGCCATTTATACTACACAAATGGAGGAGGAATGAGAGCCATTTCATACATGACACTGCTGACATACAAACTATCTCCATGTGGTGGTGGTGTGGGGGAAGAATGTATACTGACACCTGTAAAGTACATCAGAAATATTCATTTTGTGGTAAGCACACAATCCAGGAAGGCATGCTTAATTCTTGACACATCTGCTCATAGAATAATTCTGCTTGTGCTGTACTTCACAATTATTAACACAAACAACAGTTTGTGTTCCATTCTTCACAGATTCCTATGTAGGAAAAATGCCACGTGTAAAGAGGCCTTGAAGACAGGTGAGAGGATGATATTGAGGAAACAGAAAGCAATTATCAAAGTTGGAATTTGGCCAGAAAGCTAGCGCTCACACTCTAGTCTTGTGTTATAGGATCTGTAATAGCAATGAGTGAGATTACCCACCTCTCATTTAGCAGGACCTCTGGAAGAAGCATCTATGTAATGAAACAAGTGTCCCATCAGCAACTGCAATTTTTGGTCACCAATGAACTTTAACCTTTAAATTGGACCATGCTGGCATAGGGAGAAAGAACCCAGCATAAGAATGATCTATTTAAAATGCCATTGTCCATTTAAACCCAGGGCACAAAAGAAACTACGGACACACACCAGCAGTTCCCAGGCAGAGTGCTGCTCAGCACTAAGCCTCTTAGGTGTTGTCTTTACAAGACACTTAATTTCATTAATGCTTGGCTAAAGATGAGATTAAAAGATGTAAATTTGTTGTCAGTCTGTGCACAGAAACCAGATGCTTTCAGCACAAGCTCGAGGGAAGGAGTGTTGCTGAAGGCACCTACCGGATAGAGCACATGCTCATGTATACATTCAGATAACCTTTTATAAGGAGCAAGTTCAACATTTCCCTTTGGGAATGACATTGATTAGACCAGTGGCTATGTAGAATGTGATCTAGGCTGGATCTACACAGATCTGTAAAAACGCTATTAAAGGCTGTTTTAAAAACCATGATATATAGCTCTCAATGCAATTTCCCATGGCCGACAGATCACTGCTCTGTGGCGGCCTCTGGTGTCACATTTTTATAATGCATTTTTAACATTATAACCGACCAGTGTAGATTCACCCCTAGTCGATTTCAATGTTCCTTTAATGTATCTGGAACTAAGCAGAGAAAGTGGCTGCAATTAGCAACCAATGGCTTATCAGCACCGTCTCCAAATTCATCTTGTAGATTTCCTGTTCCTGCATTTTTGAGGTATGAACCACATGACATTTCCATTGCCTGGGTGACATTTCATTTTCCCCCCCTCTGGAGCTAAAACCCGCTTTTTCCTAACCAGTAGTAACATAGAAAGGTTTTCTAAAATGATTACATGCCACTGTGCCGTGCAACATGCATTTGCCATATCATAGTTTGGGGACTATGCCATTTCCCTCTGTCTCTTAGCTCCTCTTCTGTGCTGCTCCCCAAATCTCACCCACCAAACCTCACCCCTCCTTGCTTCATTTCTTTTTCATTGTTGCTGCTGTTCCTTTCTGGGTGAACATTTCTCTCCTTTCTCTCCTTTCTGGGTGGATTTACCTGGGAGGAAACCCCCTTACACTCAGTGGGGCTTACTTATGAGGAAGAGGCGACCCAGAGTGAGGGGTACAGGCAGGAAGGAACGAACACATTTACCTAAGAAGTCCCTTTGCACTCAATAGGGTTTACTGCTGAGTAGAAGTGCCTGAAACTGAGTTTGTTAGTTTGGTTAGTCAGTAAGCAACACAGGCTGGATTTTCCTCTATTCACTGAGTGGGGGCTGTTGTGAGACACTCTTCCTTTCAAAACACACAATGTGCTATTCCTCTGTCTATGTATGCGCTAAGAGCCATGGAGGGCTACAACGAACAAAATTTTTCAATAGCATTCTGGAAGAGCCCTTTGAAACACAAGCCTCTCCCACCAATTCTAGTTCATGACTAGTGGCACTGCAGGGGTGGTTTTGCTGGGAGAAGTGTTGCTCTGCGCCCTCATATCCTTAGGTCATGTGGGGGGGGGGAGACAACAATCATTTTTTGTATAGTACTTCCTAAAAGAACTGTCATGCAGTGTGTTGGAAAAACACCAGTTTATTGCTACAACACTGGCATATAGGTGGTGCTTAAAAACCTGTCTTCCTCTGCTTATGGAAGTCATTGTTACAAATTTCTGATTTAGAACCACTTATCATAATTCATTGCAAGATAATAAGCAGCAGGGTTTCTAATTAATTTTTAAACAGAAATCAGCACTCAACCTGTTGAATAATTCAATATGTTGTACAAACTAAGTAAATTAAATGCCATAAAGACATTGAGTTGGTTTAGGGGCCATGTCTCCAGACCTCCAAATCATGGTGTAGACCGTACAGTAGAGGATCAAGAGCAAGACCTTTGCTAACATGCTCCCCTCACACTCCTCACGGGACCAGTTTAATGAACATTTGATCCTCCCATAGTTTGTGTGAGCCCTCCAGACTTGGGCTATAAATCACAGTTTGTTTGACCAGTTTGTTTGGTTTAGGGGCTTCCTGATAAAAGAATAACTTGTGTGTGTGTGTGTGTGTGTGTGTGTGTGTTTAAGTGATCATATAAGGGAAAGTGTGAAATAAGCATGTTGGGACTGGATATGTGATATCTGAAGCACCCAGGTGTGTGTGGATGTATAGGCATTTGGAAGAATGCAGCCCTTAACAAATGCTTCACAGTTAGAAAATAAAATGGGTATAGGTAGGAAATAATGCCCAAAATGGAGCACAATCATGCAAGTATTTATGTACAAGTGGAAATGGAAAGCATGTACCTAAGCAGTCCAAGTCTATTCAAAGCACATAAAGTTCTATTCAGTTGTCCACATGTATTTCTAGTAATATGCATATTTTTCAGGTACTGGGTTAGCATGCATGGCAAGAACTTGTCAAAATACTATGACAGTTGCACGGAACACCAGAACAGGAAAGCTTTTTGTGGCGTTGCACATAAGAATCACAATTAAACTGCCCAAAGCTCCAACACCAGCACTGTCTAAATATCGTGACAGGAAACCTTTCTAACCCATTAGTAAATATGTAATACTAAATTAAAACACAGGGGAGATAACAAACATCTTGATAAATGCTGTATTTCACAGCTCATGATTCCTCACAGTTATGCCAGAACCTCCCTGCCCTCGCCGCTCTCTCTCTTACACTAAGACTCAAGTGTTACACTTTGTAATATCCTACATTACAAAGCACATTACTATATTTTGAATAGTTTCTTCAAAAATTTAGGCCCAGTATGAAAATCTTAGCTTCCCAGCTCAGGGATGCATCTCCTTTTTCTCTTCATCTTCTGACGGTTATTGAACTTTTATTTCTTTCATCCAAAGCTACCCAATGATTTATATGCCAAAGGTGCTTTTAGTCCAGACACAAACAGCAGCAAGGAGGTTGTGATACTGCTTCTAAACACGAGCGTTGTGCCACAGATGCACAGACTTGCACTGTTTTAGCTACCTACATCTACTATTGATACAAAGAAAAGGCATGTGGAAAACACAACAGCTTATTTTCTATCTGTCTGTCTATCTATCTATCTATCTATCTATCTATCTATCTATCTATCATCTACCTATCTACCTACCTACCTATCTATCTATCATCTATTTATGGGACTTATATACCGCCCTTCATCATAAGATCTCAGGGGGGTTCACAAGATACCAAGGTAAAAGAACAAATAGTTAAAACAAAAACAACAAAACAATAACAATAACCCTCCTCCCACAAAGACATTTAAAAGGCTGTATAATATTAATCAGCCAAAGGCTAGAGAAGCATTTGGCAAAATTATAAAAGGCAGACTCAGAAGAAAATATGGATAATTGCAATGCATAAATAGCAGCTTCTTAGAAAGGGAAGAGGTTATGTTGGAGAGTCAGGGTTCTTTCCTTCTACCTCAATCAGGTTCCTAAATATATGTGGATGAGAATGACATGACCAAGAGGGAACTGTAAGATGGCTTGCTATTGCTAATGTAGTCTTTATCCTAGCAGAAGGCTAAGTTTCTTTCAGGCAGGTTTCTATAGAAAGAGACAACTTGAAAGGATATAGTGTTCTACTAACAGACGAAACTCAAACTAGGCTGGTATCCACTGAGAGAAAAATGAAAGCACAGAAGGCAGTAGGGGTGACAATAAAGGATGAAGGTCAACTTCTTGCATTGTACTTAAAAAGCAATGCCTGAAAATCAGGTCAAGATTGCACAAGATAATCTCATGAGCTTTGCAGAAAAACCAAATACGCTCACACCCTTTCCCCCCTCATATCTCACTCAGCAGGCATATCAAAAGCACACTCTTAAAATGGTGGGTTGTGGGGTTTTTTTTGGCAAAGGATATCTTTTGAAAAATGAGGCTTCGAGGAAAGGCAATATTTCTATAAAACACTGGGAGTAGAGAGAGGAGGATTAAGATTTTAGCAACTATTTCTGCCAAGTCCTAACACAGCAGCAGCTTCCATGCATTAGTTATATCACTATGGTGTTATACTCATACATAATACAGTGGTGCCCCGCTAGACGAATGCCTCGCAAGACGAAAAACTCGCTAGACGAAAGGGTTTTCCGTTTTTTGAGTCGTTCCGCAAGACGAATTTCCCTATGGGCTTGCTTCGCAAGACGTTTCGTCTTGCGAGTTCGTTTCCTTTTTCTTAAAGCCGCTAAGCCGTTAATAGCTGCTAAGCCGCTAATAGCCGTGCTTCGCAAGACGAAAAAACTGCAAGACGAAGAGACTCGCGGAACAGATTAATTTCGTCTTGCGAGGCACCACTGTATTGGTTGCAGACCTGCAGAATGTGCAGTGCTTATTTAACAAGAAACTCCTGTTCAGAAGCTGTCCCACAGGTCCCCCTGAACTATCCAGCTTGCATGGCAATGATCAGGAGCCTCATCAGCTCTACTCTTCCCACAACCTACTAATCCCAAGGAGGCATCTGTTCCCTCATCCCAAACCTACCCAACTCAACCTACATGTTTCCCCACCGTGGAGGCTTACTGTAGAATGGCCACATTTCACTCTTCATTTACATAGTGTCATTGCCAAATTGTTGTTCACCTGTGTCTTCCATATGCTACTTCTATCTCTCTCTCTCTCTCTCTTTTTTTTTACCACAGAAAACCTTCTGGTAAAGAATGGAACAGGAGCACAATATCCACGGCTGATTGCTAATCTTCAGTCTTTTCCAAGAGGCATAGTTTTTACACATGCAGTAATACCTTTGGCAGCAAATCTACTGATACTTGGGTGCTCCTTCTCTATTTCCTTTCCTGTTAGCACCATTTTATCAATATTTTAAAATTTGTGATTTTTATTATTTATTAGCACTAACTATTAATGCACTAATTGTAAAAGTGATTTTGGAAACACTTTGCTGCCACCATTTCAGCCATTTCTGAGCTTCAGATCTGTATTATAGCATGATACTTACACCCACACCTCTATACCTCCCAAAGTGTGGAAAATCAATGGCATTTCTCCTTGTAGCTAACAGTGGAAGAGCAATTATTAGAAAGTCCTGGAATATGCCTGCCTGGAAGCACCCATGAGAGGATTCCATCTCATGGGACTCTTAAGCTTTGCACACACAACTCAATGGAAACATATATGAAGTTAAAATGAATCCCATCTTTCTTCAACCCAAATCACATCAATTTGAGAGAACAGAGGTCTTCCCAACAACATACAAAGGGGGGGGGGTAGGGATAAAACAGACTACCTGATGACTGTCCCACATACAAGCTGGAATCATTTATGTCTCCACCATCATCCCAAATATACTGGGTCTGAAGGATCTTGGAATCTTCATTCTCCTCGCTGGAAAAGCCCGAACCAGGTGAGGCTAGCAGGGCATTGGGGACAAGGTCTGGTTCTGACACCTCCAAGTTTGGCTGTTTGCTGGTATCTAGAGACTCTAAGTGAGACATTGCTGAGAAATCCACGAAGGAGGTTGAAGTCAGTCCTTCAGTACCAGGATCTTCTGAAACTGCACAGTAGAGGCACAAAGAACCTACAAACAAGAATGAGAGCAATATCAGTTTTAGTAATCATACACAACCTCGAAGGGGGGAAAAAGTAACTGAGCTCTCTCTCTTCAGTAAAGGGCACCCAAAATGATCAAAGGTCTGGAGAAATGTTACAACATTTCAGGGGAAAGACGAGTAAGGAGGGGAGATAATTGAGGTGTATAAAATTATGCATTTGGGTGGGGAAAAGGTAGATAATATTAAAACCTCTCTCATAATATTAGAACCAACAACCAGCCAATGAAGCAGAATTTTAGAAGACTCAGGATGGACCAAATGAAGTACTTCTTCACAAAGCACATAGTTGAACTATGGAATTCATTCCTGTAAGAGTTAGTGATGGATATCAACTTGGATCATGGGCATAGCCAGGATTGTTGGCCATTTGTTGGGGGGGGGGGCAGAACCTCAGTTAGCTATGTATTTTTATTGATTTTTATTTATTGGGGAGGCAGCTGCCCTCCCCCTTGGCTACGCCCATGACTTGGATGACTTTAAAAGAGGATTATACAATTCATGGAGGTGGGGGTTATCAATGGCCACCAGCCACGGTGGTTATGTTCTACCTCCAATGTCTGAAGCAGAATTATAATGTGGCAGAATACCAGCTGCTGGGGAGAGTGCTGTTGCATTCCAATGTCCTGTTTGCAGGCTTCCTGTAACCATGTAGTTAGTCACTGTGGGAACAGAATGCTGGACACATGGGCCTTTGGTCTGATCATGTGGAGTTGTCCATACATTCTCTCAAGAACAGTCACAGGCTTCTCTGCCTTTACAGTAACATTTTTACTCACTTTGGTATAAATACATTATCCACAGCAATCACACAAAAGTGATGAATATACTCTCTGGGGGAAGAACGTCATTTTCAGGTACGAAAACCACAATGCATCCACTGCAGGGAAAATAAGATACTGCTGCAACTGAAGCAACCTGAAGGAACCCTTTTTAACTCTGCACAAACCAGTGGGTAACTATGAATGTATCTGCATTGAAAAGTGACTGCCTAGAAAGCCCTTAAGCCTTTTTGAGAGAAAAGCTGAAATACTGCAGATGAATGCATGAACAATCATCAGACGTCTCAGTGACAGAACCTAGTAGCTTCCCATTCTCATCTGCAAACAGAGGGGTGGAGTGGGGAATAGTCTGTTTTGCGTATTCATTTCATAGCCATAGTGACCTCAGAAACAGATATATTTAATTCACTAAGGAAAAAAGGTACACCCTTGCATATCCAGATAAATTCCCCCACCTCAAATTCCTCCAGAGTGTGGGTCGTGGAGTCTAGCAGTGACTGAGACACCAATTCTGAGGCTACAGTACTATCAAGCTAAGGAGTCAAATTGGGTTCCTGGCTCTGAGCACTATGTTGATGATTGAGGGACCACTGAACCTCAGGTTGACAGGCAGGAGTCCACTAATCCAACTCTCACAGCACCAGAGCCCACAGAACTGGAGCTAGGACCCTCATGAGCACTTTCACCTAGGTTTGAGGAGCAAGTGCCCCCCATACCATACCTTGCCAGTTGAGAAAGTTATGATACACAGAACTGCCTACCTTTTGACCAAAAGGCTGGCCCTAGTCTTCCACAAGGGGACAAAGCCTAGGAGAGGTGGACTGGAGGCAGAGCCACAAAAGAGCTCAGTTCAATACAACCCATGTTGTAGGAAGTACTCACTAAGAGCTGTCCTTGGTGCTGTAACAATCGACTAGCCTTGCCCTATGCGTTGGTCCCTCGATGAGAACAGGGCAGATTCTACATTGACCACAATTCTTTATCCTCCTTTACTGCATCTTTCTGTGAGATCTTTGGTTGGTCACTATGCTAATAGGAATTCTAAAATTCAGTTTCCCTTTTCCAAGTCACCCTGAGCAATTACACCCTCAGTAACTGCCCACTCACTGTTCATTACAACTTCAAAATTTTCTAAAGAGAGATCCTTCATTATGAACAAGGGACTGTGTTTTCACTGCACTGCAAAAGACTTTGTCCCTTTGATAAGAAGGCTTTCCCTCATTTTGACATACCAAGTTTCTAGAGATGCATGTGCTTATCTCTGCAGGCCAAGACAGAATTAACTCTGTAAAATAAACTCTTTAGAACTAAGAATTGCACCCTGACCCATGACATTTACGTAAATAACTATACTGTCTTGATTTCTCACAATCCATTGTTTTGTTTGTTTTTGATGTGTCCACATTTAGGAGTTTATGTTAATTGAGTGGTCGGGAACCTATAGGCTGTGGGCCTAATGACACCCGACAAGCCTCAGAGGCTGGCCCATGAGGCCATTTTGGGCAAACCACTACCACTTTTCCTGAGCCTGACATCATGCCAGGAATGGAAACTTCAAGCCGCAGCTTTAAACTTCAAGCCACAGCTAAAAGGAAGAATAACCTGGAGCGCTCCCAATTTTTCATTTGTGTCGAAGTCAGCACTTTTTGAAATGCGCATCTTTTTCTGTCACACTGTGTAGCGAATTGAGAGCACACTTAACTGGCCAGATCCTATTCCCTGTGTTAAAACTATATCAAACAGCAAAGCTTTGCTGTTGCTCAATACACATTACTCATTAAAATAGGGAGAAAAAGTAGTGCTGTAGTTGGAAAGTCATGTGAATTAAGCAAGCAAGGTGTGCATGTACTACATCCATCTTACTCCTGGCTGTTATGGTCCAGGAGACCATATCTGTCTAGATGTACAGAGTGTACAGAGGGGTGGGTTGGCAGCAGTTACCCAAGTTAGATTAGCATGTAAGCAAATGGGCAAGTATTAAGAGGGGGTGGTGTTGGTACCCAGAGCAGTCTTTGGATTGGGACTCCATAAACATGAAAACAGAAGGGAGAATTTACACACTATTCATTCCAGAAACTTGAAATCAAAGGGAGTGCCTTTTTTGAGCCTTGGATAATGCTTGGTCTGCAAGAGCTTTTCCACAACTGATTCATCCTTATTTTTGGAGACTTTTTATTGCCCTATGTGCTTTCTCATTTTAGATCAATAATACAAAATTAGCTAAAGGAGATCAACTAAGACAAAGGCAAATACCAGAGATAGCAAAAGTATGACAGGAGCAAGCAGCATTGAAAAGAAGTGCACTGCAGCATAAAGCAGCCAACCAAGGCTTCTCTGGCCATCCCAAGGGATGGACAACTCTCACCAAGAGTTATTTGCACGTAGCTGAGTCAGTCAGACACTAAAGCCAAAACATCCCAAAATATGCTCCATTATAGAGCATGCAGCATGCCTTTGCAGGTCAGATTATATCTTGCTTGAACACTCTCCTAGCTCAGTCTACAAGGAGAGAGAGATAGAACAGAATTGTGTCTAGGATTTTTATGCCTTCACACAGCAGCTGTCACTGAGCTATTATTAGCACTACAGCAGCATCTTGAGACCCCCAAAAGAGAGGGTGTGTGTGGGTGTGGGTGTGGGTGTATGTATAATTGTTGTGCTTGGACTATAAACATATGCTAGTGAGATAACAAACACACACTAGTTGCACTCAGAATAGACTAATCCTGTTTATCTGCTGTGGCGACAGATATGCAAGCTGCCATGACTGGCACGAGCCTTTGATTGTCAAATTGAGTAAAACCACCAGCCACTCCCAATTCATCCATGATCTCAATGTGACAACAGACTCCAATGGGCCTGACAGGCAGCAGAATGCCATCAAACCCACCTCCCTATCCAAGCCATGTAACTGCTTGCCTATGCTGCACTGTTGGTGGTGCTAGAATCTTGTGCTGGCCTTGAAGGCCCTAGTACTAGGACCCTGTTGCCCAGTTGTATTAATTCCCTCGTGTGCACAAGTTCATAAGATGGGATAGGTACAGAGGCACAAAGAAATGAAAGTGTATGACTGGCAACCTTATTTGCTATGCAGCCAAAGATGTATTTGCTACAACGTGTACATGTGACAAAGCTGTGGCAAACCACAGTGCCCTGGTGCATGTACCTGTAAGATACACATGGTTAAAAAGCACACATTTACTGCATACGTATGTAACAGTTTTATTAGTACATAAGCCCTCTTAGATCTGCTATGCATATATCTGTTAAAAAAATGAAAGTGTGGGTTGCAAAGACCATGTCAAAAATGCCTAACAGGGTAATGTCTTAGACACAAGATTCACCTTCTCTTTCCTTCTTGAGGAACTCCCATCAGTGTTACAAATAAACCCAACACAGATTCCTAGGGGCGGGGAAAGTGGCAAGGTTGCTTCATACCTCTTTATTAGGTAAATAATGTTCTGTTCCTTGAACGATGAACTAGAGAGACACCAATTGGCCATATTGCATAATATAATGTATTCTATATTTAAACCAGTGGTTCTTTGGCTTTTACTGTAACAGCAGTCAAGTTATTACCAGATTACACACAGCTACATTTACAATGCAACCCTAAGCATGTTTACTCTGAGAAATAAATTCTATGGAGTTCAACAGAAATGCAATAGTAAGTGCGTTTCAGATTGAAGCCTTAGCCAAGAAAGGTGAGGAGTGGTTTACTAACCTGGTTGAAACTCGAGGAGCATGAACTCTTACACATTGGGCAAGCCTTATACAGTTTCATCAGTATACTGGATACAAAAGTATATCTCCCTCAGTGAGAGAAGAGGGAGGGATACAAATAATTATTAATGTGATCTCATGAATCTTAAATCCATTCATCCAATTCTTTGGCACCAATTCAAACTTTATGGGTTGGATGCAATGTTATTTCTACTCAGAGTAGACCCGCTAAAGTAATGGACATTACTTCCCCAGCAGCCTAAGGCTCCTTCATCTTGTCTCTCTTCGTTTCTCTGACTGTTCTGGAAGACCAGGGGGAAGGGGGGGGGGAGACTCCCTGGATTCCTCTGCATATTCTCTGTCTCCTGCCCACCCCCTCCCTGCCTCTGATTCTAGAATGTTATCTGCCCCAGGGTCTTCCTGCTCACCAAACCCTGTTGCTTCTTCAGCTTGACACCTCCTCC